TTATGCTTGATTTATGTTGAACGTTCGTTTTTATGGAATGAGAATGATATATGACTGAGTTACATATTATGCATGAGATGTTGGATAGAATGAGATATATGAAATTTGAGAGTTTGGAATGATATGAACGAATGAGATGATATGATTTTTCTGAGAAATGAATCTTCCATGAACAGTTGTACGTTCGTTCTGGACGGTCATTTACCGTTCGGTTTTTCCTTAGAAAAATGTTTGGAATGTTGATTCTATCATTTGACTAACTCTGTGGTTGAGGACGAACGTCCTCACTGGTTGAGCGTTCGGTTCGGCACTGTTGAATCTTGTACGTTTGATAAACTTCTTTCTTTTTGTACTCATATATATATATATGTAACAGTGCATATTCCCGTTCGTATTACTCCTCCAAACTTCTCTTAGTTTATTTTCAAGATTTATCAATCTGAGTTACTGGACGTTCGGTTTTTACACCTGACGTTCGCCCAGAATAGCGTTCGGTCTTACACTGGACGATCGTACTGGAAGGCGTTCGGTCTTACACTGAACGTACGCTCAAAGTGTCGTTCGGTTTCATACCGAGCGTTCGTCATAAATGAGGCTCGGCCTTATAATGGGCGTCCGCCCGAAATAGTGCTCGGTCTCCAACTGAGCGTTCGTCTAAATAGTGCTCGGTTNCGTGTCCCGTGTCTAAATGTTGTCAAATGAAGTTGTTCAAGTATCATTTTCCTTTTGTCTATGCTTTATGAAAGTTACGTCACACAAAAAACACGTGAAGGTTTTATTATAGTTCATACTCCATTTTTCATATAAAAAACACTTCACATATTTTTTTTATTGAGAATGATTTATTAGAAAGTGGGTTTTTAAGCCTAACTCAACCTCACAAAACCGGCTTGGACCACCTATTTTCAAACCGGTTTTGTGGGATTGAGTTAGACTTAAAACTCACATTCTAATATGGTATCAGAGCCATATAACCTATCCTAGCGAGTTCTAAGTGGACATTCTATTCTTCTATTACACCCGCTATCGGGCTGTTATCGGACCACCCAATTTATACTAAGTTAGGTTTAAAAATCCACTTTCTGAAATGGTATCAGAGTCATGGTTAGAGCCTATCCTAACGAGTTCTAAGTGGGCATTCTATTCTTCTATTCCACTCGCTATCGAGCCGTTATTGGACCACCCAATTTCTACTATCACGCACGAGATGTTTATACCTCGGCGTGGAGGGGGTGTGTTGGAAGTCTCACATCGACTAGAAATAAGGCCAAAATATAATATATAAGTGAGGTGCAAACCTCACCTTACATGCTCATTTTGTGGGGTTGAATTAGACTTAAAAGTCCACTACTAACATGATTTACATAAATCACATAAAGTGCATAGAGTAAATACTCTATAATTTAGTTCAGGAATGAAAAATAACATTTTATAATAGTTTGAACATAAAAATCATATTTAATCCTAATTTAGTTCTAGTTTGAAAACTAAATTGATTGTATCTAGATTTATTTTGAAGAATCTTATTTTTAAAGATTAATGGGAAAGTTCATAGTTTTACGATTTAACAATTATTTATAGTTCAAAAACATTTCATGAAAAAAGTTTTAAAATTATCTAATGAAAACATCATTTTAATTATAGCCTACTTATAAATGTTCTCAATCAGCAAAAAAACACTATCTGTCTTAGGATTCTAAACTCGCTCCTATCTATTATATATTGTTTTTACTATCCTTCCTTTATTACTGACCTTTAGTCTTTAATCACCTACGAAATGTAACTATTATAACTATTGTTGATTACATAGATGTATGACCTAATGTTCCAATTGGCATTGAGCTTATTTATCAAATCGGTATTTGTCAGGCCTCAGAAAATAACGTGCGTAGTGGAGTCCACGTGGCAGCAGGAGGACGCGCCACACCAGCAGGGCACATGGACGACAGCAGCGCCTGACAACCACTAACGGACGCCAGGTGCCGCACATGGAGGTGAGTCAGGAATGTTGGTGGAAAGCTGACTGGCATGGTGCGAACGTGCGCTGCAGAAGGGACGTCCGGCATGGGCAGTCAGGAAGAACGTGCGTCGACGGTAGTGGAAGACGCGTGGCAACTGTAGAGTGGTCGACCGTCCGTTATGGGCTGTCAGAGGCGTGGTGGAGTGCGCTGGCGAGTGCGGACGTGCGCTGGCAGAGTGGAAAGTAAATCTGAGAATTTGAATTAATTCCCCACTTCCCCTGCACGTCCCTCTCTTTCCCATTTCTCAGACTCAATTCTCTCCTCCTTCTCTCTACACTCTCTGCACCCTTCTCTCTCTAAGGAACCACCTCTGCACCTCCTCCGTTCTACACTCCGACACTGCTGAAGGACGCTCGGCATAGGAATTCCAGAGAGAACGTTCGGCTGGTGAAGCTGGTAAGTCCTTTCCTTCCTCTCTGACGTTCGTCCTTCGTGCATGAAAACTATGTTTGAATTGTACGTTCGTTATTCTCTTAGAGTAGAGTGGTTCTGACTTTTGGTGTTGGGGTCGTTCGCTCGTACAGCGGATTAACGAGCGTTGGCAAGTAGGATTTGAGTGGAGAAGCGTCTGTGTGTGTCTGTGAACGTTCGTTCATTTCCGGGTAAGGGAAGCTTACTTAATTTAACTGTTTTGCTGTATGTGTGGGTGTGAACGTCCGTTATTTTACTGTATAGATGCATGATGAATGACATTGATGTATGCTATGTGAACGTTCGTTATTTGGCTGCATGAAAGTAATGCATGATGTATGAATGATGGTATGAACGTTCGTTACTTTGATTGTATGAAGCTGTTATGCTTGATTTATGTTGAACGTTCGTTTTTATGGAATGAGAATGATATATGACTGAGTTACATATTATGCATGAGATGTTGGATAGAATGAGATATATGAAATTTGAGAGTTTGGAATGATATGAACGAATGAGATGATATGATTTTTCTGAGAAATGAATCTTCCATGAACAGTTGTACGTTCGTTCTGGACGGTCATTTACCGTTCGGTTTTTCCTTAGAAAAATGTTTGGAATGTTGATTCTATCATTTGACTAACTCTGTGGTTGAGGACGAACGTCCTCACTGGTTGAGCGTTCGGTTCGGCACTGTTGAATCTTGTACGTTTGATAAACTTCTTTCTTTTTGTACTCATATATATATATATGTAACAGTGCATATTCCCGTTCGTATTACTCCTCCAAACTTCTCTTAGTTTATTTTCAAGATTTATCAATCTGAGTTACTGGACGTTCGGTTTTTACACCTGACGTTCGCCCAGAATAGCGTTCGGTCTTACACTGGACGATCGTACTGGAAGGCGTTCGGTCTTACACTGAACGTACGCTCAAAGTGTCGTTCGGTTTCATACCGAGCGTTCGTCATAAATGAGGCTCGGCCTTATAATGGGCGTCCGCCCGAAATAGTGCTCGGTCTCCAACTGAGCGTTCGTCTAAATAGTGCTCGGTTTTGCAAAGAGCGTTCGTCCAAATAGTGCTCGGTTCTGAAATGAGCGTTCGTCTAAATAGTGCTCGGTTTTGAAAACTGAGCGTTCGTCCTAAATGACGCTCAGTATTATTTTTAGCGCTCGTTCTCTTTTCCCACTAAATAGCGTTCGTCCAATGAACAGTATTAGACTTGGACATTTTTGAACTTAAACCGTTCGTTCTTTGATTCGAACGAGTGTCCTTTTGGTTTCACTTACAGCGTTCGTCCTCGGTCTTTGGGGACAGAACGTTCGGCTTTTGGTGATTTTCTTATGAATGATGAAAATGATTATGGAATGATGAATAGTGATTGATGAACAGTAAGTGAGAGGAAATGGAAATATGAATGTTTGATGAATAGTGAATGATGTACAGTATATGAGATGAAATGAAAGTATGAATGTTGAACGAGCGTTCCGGGGAGGAATGACTCTTGGATGATTATGAGAATTTGTAAAGTATGACCGTGGCCAGACTTAGCAGGCGATTCGATCCTGATATTCCGTGACTACTCGTCTTCACATAGAAGGGGTATGTCATGCGTGGGAATGGCAGGAGGTCCCCGTCACATAACTGTAATTTGGACGGAACCGTCACATAACTGTAATTTGGACGGAATGGACTAACCTCGGGTGGCAGCTGATGAGAATGCCAGTTACCACACCACCTGGGTGCGCGATCGTCGTAGCTACACGGGGAAATCTTACAGTATGGACAGTTGTGTTGAGTTTTATTTTCGGATGTGTGTTAAAATATATTGATAGGTGATGAATGCGTACGTTGATATGTATGTGTGAAATGAACTGTTTACTGGAACTTATATGTTGATGCATGAGTTAAATTACGTAAGCTTACCCTTTCGTTTTCCTTGTGTTGTCCTTTGTTCTTGTACGTCCGTCTTGTCATTGCGATGATCATCCGTGTGGATGTGAGCAGAGGGAGACGAGCGTTTGGAAGAGGCGCTGAATGAAGAGAACCTGATAGAAGTTGAATTGAAGACCGAGCAGTGAGACGCTCGGCTATTAATTGTTGGCAGGGAGTGGTCGTTCGACCACCTCTAGTTTTCGTTTAAGTTGAATTCGGCCGTTCGGTATTTGTCCTGTGTAAACCGTTCGGTCAGATTTTCTTGTACGTTCGGTTTTAAATTGTAAACTCTTGTATGGACGTGCAGTTGTGCACGCTCGTCCCTAAGTGTTGTATCTGTACTCAAGGACGTTCGTCCTTGAGCGTTCGTTCGGTTTTGATTTTTTTTTTTTTTTTTTTTAGTGGAAAACTGTACTGAATTATTATTAAATGTGATTTTCTAAATTTATAGTTTTGACTGTATTTTTGGGATGTCACATTAGTGGTATCAGAGCAGTTTCGTTCTTTTAAGGACATTGTAGGTTGTGAGTGCACCATGCATGTCTTGCTGTGTGCTCGACGTACTTTTATTGAGTATTTTAGACTCTTTGAACTTATCTAACGGTTGTTTTCTCTGCTTCTCAGAGAGAACTAATGGCACCTAGACTTCCTCCTCCACCACAGCCCAATGAGCACGATGTGCCCAACAACACCAGGTTGTTGGAATCAGTAATCGAAAAGCTACAAGAGCAGAACACTATTTTGATGCAACAGAACGCAGCTGCTTTACAGAGTTTAGAAGACGCTCGCGCAAATTCTGAGGCAACTCAGAGGCAACTGATGGAGATCCTTGCAGCTACTAGGGGTACGCCGGGAACATCTGCTTCAAACACTACTCATCAAGCCGAGTGGAGTTTGGAGAACTTTTTGCAGCATCGTCCAGCGAAGTTTGATGGGAAGTGTCTTCCTGACGGAGCTGATCAGTGGATAAGGGATCTGGAACAGATCTACGACGCCAAGGAATGTCCGGACGATCGAAGACTAGCATTCACTGAGTATCTGTTGACTGGAGAGGCCAGTCATTGGTGGTCGAGTGCGAAGATGTTACTGACGGAATCTCACAACCCTATTTCCTGGGAAGTCTTCAAGGCTAAGTTTTATGAAGAGTATTTCCCTGACAGCGTTCGTTACGCCAAGGAAGTGGAATTCCTCCAGTTGGTACAAGGTGACATGACCGTTTCTGAATACACCAGCAAGTTCAAGCATCTAGTCCGTTTCAACACTATGGCTACCAGTGAGGAATGGCAGTGTCGGAAGTTTGAGAACGGGCTGAGGAGTAATCTGAAGGTGCTGTTATCCAGTCTATGTATTAGGTCTTTTCCTGCAATGGTTGAGAGGGCCAAGGTATTAGAAAAGAATGTGGCCGAAGCAAAGCAACAAAAGAAACAGCGGCAAGCAGCTAAGGGGTCGGTCATGTCCAAAACAAATTTGAACCGAAATCGGGTACCTTACGCTCGTCCAGTACAGCCACCAAATTCAAGTGGGTCTCAAGCTTTGGTTGTTGCCGGACAGTCTGGGCAACGAGGGACGGTCAAATGTTTTCAATGTGGAGGACCCCATTTCAAGTCAGTCTGTCCTCAGTTAACTGGAGGGAAGTATTGCAACCGTTGTAGAAGAAGTGGTCACTGGGAAAGCGAGTGTTATATGGACAGACAAGCGGAAATGAAACCGCCAAATGCTGAAAGAATGCAACAAGAAAGGGGTGGACGAACGCAGGCTGTTGGTAGAGTGTATGCGATCACGGGCACCGAAGCTGCCAGTTCAGGTACGTTCGTCACCAGTATCTGTTTATTATTTGGAAATCCATGTTGTGTGTTATATGATTCGGGGGCAACACACTCCTTCATTTCGAAGGCGTGCGTTGGGGAATTGGGTATAGTCGAACGCGAGATGCAGTTCGACTTGGTAGTGTCAACCCCAGCGGCTGGTGAGGTTAGGACGTCTACAGTATGCTTCAAATGTCCTATCGAGAGTGAAGGGCATAGTTATAAGGTGAATCTCATCTGTCTACCCTTAAAGGAAGTAGAAGTGATCTTAGGAGTGGATTAGCTGACCGTCAATCGCGTTCTCATTGACTGTGGGGCAAAAGAATTGGTACTCCCGGACGAGTATGAAGTAGAGCTATCCGTGACGCTCTATCAATTAAAAGAAGACATCGTGGATGGCGCCAGTTGTTTTCTGATCATGACTTATTCGACCAGATCAGAATGAAGCAGCGAGAGGACGAAGAGCTAGTGAAGATCTTGAACGCACTTGATACATATCAAGCCAAGGAATTCAACGCTGGAACGGACGGTCTCTTACGCTACATGGGTAGGACGTGCGTTCCAAATGATGACGAGCTAAAAAGGATTATTCTTGAGGAAGGACATCACAGTCGTTTTAGCATACACCCTGGTATGACTAAGATGTACCAAGACCTCAGGAAGTTGTTCTGGTGGCCGGGAATGAAGAGTGATGTCGCACGTTTTGTGGCATCATGCTTAATGTGCCAACGAGCCAAGGCTGAACATCAGAGGCCTGGCGGTCTACTTCAGCAGTTAGAGATTCCAGAATGGAAGTGGGACGATATTGCGATGGACTTTGTGACTCACTTACCGCGAACAGTCAGGAATTACGGTTCCATATGGGTAATAGTGGATCGACTGACGAAGAGTGCTCACTTCCTCGCGGTCAACCTGAAGATGTCAATGACGAACCTGGCTAAACTTTACATCAAGGAAATTGTTCGTCTACGTGGAGTTCCATCCAGCATTGTTTCAGACCAAAACACAAGATTTACCTCTCGGTTTTGGCAATCGTTTCAAAGCGAGCTCGGTAGCAAACTTCAAATGAGTTCGGCCTATCATCCTCAGACGGACGGTCAGTCCGAGAGAACCATCTAGACGCCTGAAGACTTATTGAAGACGTGTGCCCTAGATCACATGGGCGTCTGGGATGAAGTGTTACCTTTAGTGGATTTCACCTACAGTAGTAGCTTCCAAGCCAGTATAGGAATGGCTCCCTTTGAAGCTCTGTATGGGAGAAAGTGTCGAACGCCTTGGTGTTGGTTACAGGAAGGAGAAAAGGTCTTAACTGGACCAGAGCTCATTCAGCAGATGACTGAGAAGGTGAAATTGATCCAAGAAGGGCTGAAGGCATCTCGAAGCGGACAGAAGTCATACGCTGATAAAAGAAGAAGGCCGATAGAATTCAATGCCGGAGATCACGTTTTCCTCAGACTACACCCAACCACTGGAGTTGGGAGAGCTGTTCGACCCAAGAAGTTGTCTCCCAAGTTCATCGGGCCCTATCAGATCTAGAGGAAGATCGGGCCAGTCGCGTACGAGTTATCTTTATCGCCTCAGCTATCAAATTTTCATCCGGTCTTTCATGTTTCTCAACTCTGGAAGTACGTATCCGATCCTTCTCACGTATTGAAGTTAGAAGATATTCGTCTTCTTCAAGACCGTACGCTGGAGATGCAGCCGGTACGCATTGAAGATAGCAACACCAAAGTACTAGCAGGAAGATTGGTGAAGGTCGTCTGGGACGAGAAGACGGGCGACTCTACGTGGGACGTGGTAGATGCCATGAAGGATTTGTATTCCCATCTATTCGAGACTCAGTCCTAATTTTCGAGGACGAAAATTTTTGTAGTTGGGGGGAATGTCAGGCCTCAGAAAATAACGTGCGTAGTGGAGTCCACGTGGCAGCAGGAGGACGCGCCACACCAGCAGGGCACATGGACGACAGCAGCGCCTGACAACCACTAACGGACGCCAGGTGCCGCACATGGAGGTGAGTCAGGAATGTTGGTGGAAAGCTGACTGGCATGGTGCGAACGTGCGCTGCAGAAGGGACGTCCGGCATGGGCAGTCAGGAAGAACGTGCGTCGATGGTAGTGGAAGACGCGTGGCAACTGTAGAGTGGTCGACCGTCCGTTATGGGCTGTCAGAGGCGTGGTGGAGTGCGCTGGCGAGTGCGGACGTGCGCTGGCAGAGTGGAAAGTAAATCTGAGAATTTGAATTAATTCCCCACTTCCCCTGCACGTCCCTCTCTTTCCCATTTCTCAGACTCAATTCTCTCCTCCTTCTCTCTACACTCTCTGCACCCTTCTCTCTCTAAGGAACCACCTCTGCACCTCCTCCGTTCTACACTCCGACACTGCTGAAGGACGCTCGGCATAGGAATTCCAGAGAGAACGTTCGGCTGGTGAAGCTGGTAAGTCCTTTCCTTCCTCTCTGACGTTCGTCCTTCGTGCATGAAAACTATGTTTGAATTGTACGTTCGTTATTCTCTTAGAGTAGAGTGGTTCTGACTTTTGGTGTTGGGGTCGTTCGCTCGTACAGCGGATTAACGAGCGTTGGCAAGTAGGATTTGAGTGGAGAAGCGTCTGTGTGTGTCTGTGAACGTTCGTTCATTTCCGGGTAAGGGAAGCTTACTTAATTTAACTGTTTTGCTGTATGTGTGGGTGTGAACGTCCGTTATTTTACTGTATAGATGCATGATGAATGACATTGATGTATGCTATGTGAACGTTCGTTATTTGGCTGCATGAAAGTAATGCATGATGTATGAATGATGGTATGAACGTTCGTTACTTTGATTGTATGAAGCTGTTATGCTTGATTTATGTTGAACGTTCGTTTTTATGGAATGAGAATGATATATGACTGAGTTACATATTATGCATGAGATGTTGGATAGAATGAGATATATGAAATTTGAGAGTTTGGAATGATATGAACGAATGAGATGATATGATTTTTCTGAGAAATGAATCTTCCATGAACAGTTGTACGTTCGTTCTGGACGGTCATTTACCGTTCGGTTTTTCCTTAGAAAAATGTTTGGAATGTTGATTCTATCATTTGACTAACTCTGTGGTTGAGGACGAACGTCCTCACTGGTTGAGCGTTCGGTTCGGCACTGTTGAATCTTGTACGTTTGATAAACTTCTTTCTTTTTGTACTCATATATATATATATGTAACAGTGCATATTCCCGTTCGTATTACTCCTCCAAACTTCTCTTAGTTTATTTTCAAGATTTATCAATCTGAGTTACTGGACGTTCGGTTTTTACACCTGACGTTCGCCCAGAATAGCGTTCGGTCTTACACTGGACGATCGTACTGGAAGGCGTTCGGTCTTACACTGAACGTACGCTCAAAGTGTCGTTCGGTTTCATACCGAGCGTTCGTCATAAATGAGGCTCGGCCTTATAATGGGCGTCCGCCCGAAATAGTGCTCGGTCTCCAACTGAGCGTTCGTCTAAATAGTGCTCGGTTTTGCAAAGAGCGTTCGTCCAAATAGTGCTCGGTTCTGAAATGAGCGTTCGTCTAAATAGTGCTCGGTTTTGAAAACTGAGCGTTCGTCCTAAATGACGCTCAGTATTATTTTTAGCGCTCGTTCTCTTTTCCCACTAAATAGCGTTCGTCCAATGAACAGTATTAGACTTGGACATTTTTGAACTTAAACCGTTCGTTCTTTGATTCGAACGAGTGTCCTTTTGGTTTCACTTACAGCGTTCGTCCTCGGTCTTTGGGGACAGAACGTTCGGCTTTTGGTGATTTTCTTATGAATGATGAAAATGATTATGGAATGATGAATAGTGATTGATGAACAGTAAGTGAGAGGAAATGGAAATATGAATGTTTGATGAATAGTGAATGATGTACAGTATATGAGATGAAATGAAAGTATGAATGTTGAACGAGCGTTCCGGGGAGGAATGACTCTTGGATGATTATGAGAATTTGTAAAGTATGACCGTGGCCAGACTTAGCAGGCGATTCGATCCTGATATTCCGTGACTACTCGTCTTCACATAGAAGGGGTATGTCATGCGTGGGAATGGCAGGAGGTCCCCGTCACATAACTGTAATTTGGACGGAACCGTCACATAACTGTAATTTGGACGGAATGGACTAACCTCGGGTGGCAGCTGATGAGAATGCCAGTTACCACACCACCTGGGTGCGCGATCGTCGTAGCTACACGGGGAAATCTTACAGTATGGACAGTTGTGTTGAGTTTTATTTTCGGATGTGTGTTAAAATATATTGATAGGTGATGAATGCGTACGTTGATATGTATGTGTGAAATGAACTGTTTACTGGAACTTATATGTTGATGCATGAGTTAAATTACGTAAGCTTACCCTTTCGTTTTCCTTGTGTTGTCCTTTGTTCTTGTACGTCCGTCTTGTCATTGCGATGATCATCCGTGTGGATGTGAGCAGAGGGAGACGAGCGTTTGGAAGAGGCGCTGAATGAAGAGAACCTGATAGAAGTTGAATTGAAGACCGAGCAGTGAGACGCTCGGCTATTAATTGTTGGCAGGGAGTGGTCGTTCGACCACCTCTAGTTTTCGTTTAAGTTGAATTCGGTCGTTCGGTATTTGTCCTGTGTAAACCGTTCGGTCAGATTTTCTTGTACGTTCGGTTTTAAATTGTAAACTCTTGTATGGACGTGCAGTTGTGCACGCTCGTCCCTAAGTGTTGTATCTGTACTCAAGGACGTTCGTCCTTGAGCGTTCGTTCGGTTTTGATTTTTTTTTTTTTTTTTTTTTAGTGGAAAACTGTACTGAATTATTATTAAATGTGATTTTCTAAATTTATAGTTTTGACTGTATTTTTGGGATGTCACAGTATTACACTTTTTTGATTAAATTGGTCTTCCGCCTAACACCACAAAATAATATTGTGATTTTAGTTAATAAGATTAATGAAAATTCATTGTGGGAATCAAAACATTCCATTGCCTTTTTTTAATTCATGTTCCATTTTCTTTAGTTTCAACTTTTACATCTAAATTTAAAATAATTTCAATTATATAAATCAGTCCTTTCACTTGAAATTTTCATTCATTTTAAAAAGATTTTATTTTATGTGTTTAAGGAAATAACTAAAATCTTGTTGTTTTCTTATTCTCTAACCGAGAGAAAGAAAAATTGATAATAAATATAAATTCTTGTCTTTGAGCGTTTATTTTAATATGTTTCGTATTATTTGAAAGTCAAAATAAAAAATAATTTAAATACATTTTTTAACTCTTGGATATCATTTAAAATCATACATAATTTCAAGCTCTCAAACAAACAATATTTCAGTCATTGATTTAATTATGTTATCTAAACTAATTTTATAGAATGTTTAAATAATAAAAATATCATAAATTAACGTAAGAAAAGTGCAAAAGCTAATTTAGTATATAAAAATAGTTATTAAATATAAGAAGTTGGGTTTAGAATAATAGAATGGTTGAGATAAAAAGTGTAGTGATTAGTTGGTAAAACTGTGGTTAGAAAATGTGTGGGTGTGATGGATGGCCCAGAAATTAAAGGTGGTGGTTTCGTGTTTGGATTCCATCTTGCAATGAGGTTGAGGTTGGTGGAATCCCACCCACCATGCAAAAACAACAATTCCTAAATCATTATTTATTTATATTTATCTCAATCAACCTAATTCATTATTCCATGCTTCATTCATTTTATTTATATATAATCTCATTTCTTCTAGGTATTATCCGTTTCATTCATCATTAATTTTTTTTTATCAAGAGTCTGATTAGTTTAAATATAATATATATCTCAATAATAACATGCTCTGATTGTCGCATCTCCTTTTCCAAATTGCAATTCAATATACTGTCATTTATTTATTCATATTCTTCCATGAAGGAGAATATAAAATGCTATAGCATTTATCATAAAGTCAAATCAGTGCTGACAATTAGAACGGATCCTATTTTACTTTATGGGTACGGATCTCACTTCAAAAAATTTCATGTGTATCTGATTAGGGTTTTCTTAAATATCATTCTTAAGATAATGAAATTAAAGATGAAAATATTCTTATAAAATTATAATATTTAAGTTATTAATATTTTTCTCAAAATTAAGGTTTAAAATAAATCATGTTGTAAGAAAAGATAGAAAGAAAAATATTAAAAGAGTTTAATTCTTATTATTAAATGATGCAGTTAACATATTAAAAATAATGACTAATTTAAATGATTAAAAATAATTAATTACTATAGTAACTAATTTATAAACTAAAAATTATCAGTAATTAAAATAGATTTTATTACGAATAAAAAATTATATTTAGTTTTTAAATGGATAACTATAATAATTTTAATTATGAATTAATATTTAAAGGTCATCAATATTAATCATCAAAGTTTTAATTCTCTAATTAAGAAATTAGTTTTTAAATTTTTTTCTAAACATATTTTTGTCACTTAAAATTGATCGTTATTTTTATTATAATGAATTGAGAATAATTAATAAATTTACTTATTCTTAAAGATTAGAGAACTAAACTTTTTAATTTAAATCATATTAAAGTTGACTGAAGTAAAAAAAATAACTTTTTCAAAATTATATAGAACTCGTGTATTATAAATAGATAAATAGTAGGGTTAATAATTTTGACAACATTTACATATTATTTGTATAATCAACAGCCTACACAAACTCATGAGAAAAAAAATTAATGTGAATATTTTGTATTCAATTTGCATTATCGCAGACTAAACGAGTTTAGTTCGCACACTACGCACAATATACACATTAAAAACAGTAACCCGACTCAAACTGAAACATTATTGAATTAAACATATAAAATTAAAAAAATGGATGATATTTTATTATATTTTGATACCATTTCGTATTTTATTACACAATTTAATATATTTAATATTCTTGTATTAGGATTAAAATATTTTATTTTGATTAAATTTAGACTAAGTTGTAGAACCCTTAAAATTTGTAGATAATATATGTTGATTACTTTGAAGTATATTTTTCAAAGGTAGGTACATGTAAATTTTGCAAGATCTACAAAATAAAGTTTATTTAAGATGTGGGCTAGACCAATTTCTTTTCACTATATACAAATTTGTGTAAAAATAAATAACTTTGTAAATAGAAAGAGTCTAATATAAAAATATAACGTACGTATAAAAGTTATATGAAGAGGGTTAGAATGCTCTTAAGTATTGTACTATATTTATTTATGATATCTTTTGCAGATAAAAATAAAATAAAATAAAATAAATAGGATGTTATGAACTATTTTTTGAGAATTATAACTTTGTAAAATGGAGTGTAGAAGAGAAACATGGAAGTGGAAAGTGTAGAAACACATGAGGCTTTAATGTTTTAAAAGGTAACATAATCCAAACAGAACAGTGAATTTTAGACAATAATTGGCATATGAAGATACAGAAAAGGAAAAAGCATTGATCATATTATTTGAAAAAAGTAAAAACTTTACAAACTTTTGGACTGCTAATTTGTAAGGACATGATAGTAACCAAATGCACTTGTCGGTGTTCGTCCAAATCATTCTTTAGCTAACTATTTTTTTCCCAGATGTCATTATTGATTAAACACTAAAACTTTTAGGCATGTTAAACTTTATAATTTTTAGTTTCTTATCCCAATATATTTTAATTTATTTTTTTAATATATTCCTTAATTTTTTTTTGGGTACGTTAATAAATATTTACATATGTATAAATAATTTTGAATATTAATATATTCAAGTTATTTTATATTTGCATGTGTCTTGTAAGGCAAATAGTTTAGAGACACCATTTTTATCAAAAACAGCCTGTCCTTCCTCTCTTGATTTTAATTTGCGTTTTCAAAAACCGTTTCACATTCTTAACGGTATATTGTAGTTTAGTTCATATTAAAATACTTACTTCATATCACCTAGAAATAATAAATAAATATAAATATTATGTTATATAAGTTGATTTTTCTAATATTTAATCAAATTTAAAATTTATTTTTTACTATGATATTAAAACCATTTAATATCTATAATGACAAAATATGATAGTCTACGCTTGAGATTTATAGGTGTCTGGAATACAATAAAACATCCATATTTATGTAGGAACCAATGTTTAATAAGGATGATTTAAAAAAAAATCAAAAGATTAAAATTTTAAATTAAGTGTAGTATATAAATTATAATTTCACCTATTCAGTAATTTATTTTACAAAATTTATTATTTTTCTAATCTCCCCGTTTTCGTATTCTTTCTACTCTTTTAAAAAATTATCGAATTTTATTCTACATAATTTTTGAATGATTTTCTAGAATAGGAAAGGATTGGAGTTCAGGGAAGATAAATTGTTATGTATGTATATATGAACGTGTGTTTTACAACTTGATTTTGGGTCATTTTGAGCACTTGAAGAAAATTTAGTTTGAAATTTTTTTGAACTAGAAAATCTAGAAAAGTGAAGTTTGGATTTTGATTAAACAGTTGCAAATATTTAGATGCAAATAATCTATATGTTGATATATGATGTTTGAAGTTTGTTAGGAATATGAAATTAATATTTAATTTGTATTATGAATGTTGAATTGATGATTTCGATATGCATATAGTTTAACTAATATACCTAAAGAAGTGAAATTAAAATGTTTTAAACTAAATTTAATTAAGTTGCGTGAATTAATAACGAGATTTATGATATGAGTAGTTATATTTAATTTGGTGCATAAATGGTTTGGGACGTGCTGAAATAAAAGAATGACGTATAAGAGATTCTCAACCTGTACTATACAAAAATATCAAAGACATAATGGGAATATGAATATTATAGATTTTCTTTTAAAAATATATATCACACAAATAAAACAACCTCCGACACTGTGCTGATCCAAATCATTAAAAAAAAAATTTCGCTCACCAAAATCACATCAATGAAAAATTTATCATTTGATTCGTTATAGATTTTAAATAACTTTAATATTTATGGTTTTAATTTAATTTAATAGATGTACATGTATATATTCAATGTTGACCTAATTAAGCTTTAAATACATATATAGTTTTATTTCATCGAACATTGATACAGTTAGAGTTTATAAGAACTCTTATAAATAGTTAATCAGATCCCTTAGTGAGTGTACACATACTTATCATTAAAGCATTAAGTCTGTTTAGTGAAATCAAACTATAAAAAAGTAACAGTACAAATTGTTATTAGAATCAGTGCAGTTCAAATTTCAACAAAAATGATCCATATCAGAGGAGGGCACAGTTTGTAATCCATAGAACAGAAATGTTGGTGGTGGAATCCTGTTACTTTTAAATAGTTAATTACTACAACTTCACATATATTCACATTTTTTATATATTCTGTTTGGTTCATGACAGGTATCATATTCATATTCCTATAAGAATAATTCTCATTCTAGACCTCTAAACACAAAATGGGATCGTGAATTTGATACTTATGCCACTGATCAGATTTATTAATCAGATCATGCTACTTTGTATTATGTATTAGCAGAATGTTCTTATTTAAAGAATTAAAAAGTAAAGTGTTTTATGAAATTATGTTATATTTTTCAATTGATCTCGCATATAATATTATTTAACGATTCCCTAATATTGAAAAACAATTTACATTGGAGACCTCTTCCGATAAAACTTTTAAGCCTTATCCTCATCAAATAAATGACGTAACATATGAAGAATCTGTACTGTCGTAATCTGATATAGTCACAGAATAAATTACGCAATTAATCTGCAATAAATAATTTACTGATGAAAAAAATCTTATACTTTTTATAATACATTGTAATTTGCTGTTAGACCCTCGGCATTATATGTAAAAATTAAATGCATGTGACGCTTTGGAATTAGAATAGAAGTTTTACTTCATTAATGCCATTTAATATTATTGGAGTTTAATCGTAATTATTGGAATTTGGGCCATTAGCATTCTTATAGCCTTTGGGCCCGTCCATCGTGTTTAACACTAATTAGTAATTAAGTGGGAGAGGTGGATGCTTAGTATATATGTACTACAAATTTATAATAGCAACGGAATATTTATCAAGCTTTATTATTATTGACAAGGAAACATTGGTTAACCCTTATTATCATTGCTATCATTCCTAGGAGCAGTAACAGGTAGCTGTCGTTGGTCTTCTGGAAAGTTATCCTTTGCAGGGGATGGTGGCATTCTTCGCTGGCATTCTTTAGCTTTTCCCCACACAACTAGATATAGCCCAAGAACCACAACAATTGCTCCAATAACACTGATATCATATTGAACTGTAACGCGTTATAATATATTTGAAAAGAGAAGAAGAGAGACAAAAAAAAAAAACATGAGAAAAGGATCATATATAATGTTTGGTACTTAATTTTTAGTACCTTCCAAGGTAGAGTTGCTCAGATAGAATGATGCAGGCCAAGGTGGTAATGATGATCATACGAAGGGGATTAAAAGCAGTCACAATAACTGGGCCCATCGATTTTATCACCATGCCTTGTATGTAATACTGAACTCCTGATGTAACTACTCCCTGTAATAAGTTAATATTAAGATAAGGTTAAAAAAAACCATGCAATTTTAACCATAAGTTAAATGTCGAGCCGTAATCGACGTAGAACTTCATTTTTTGACATCGATTCTAAGAATATGTCACAATCATGTCAAAGAATATGGTTACTTACCGCATAAGCTGGAGCAAAGAGTCGTGTATCCCAACCAATGGCCCATGCATGAGGGTGGTGGCGTTCTGCGATGGCTGCTACAACAGAGCTTTGAAGTGCACCTACGAAGCAAACCCAAGTAGCCAGGGACATCTCTGTTGGGTATTTTCTCAATGTTATGGTCTACATATATTTCACCGAACCATGCATTATTTTCCATAAGATATCAATATACATGTAACTTTATTTAATATGTTATGAAGCCATTAATCTTCCTCAAAGTGTCATTCCGAATAAACTATTTTTATACGTGAGTTTGTGTAGGAACTTAATTACTTGTAATATGTAAAACGCAGAGAAGCCTGCACAACCGATGAGGAGGAAACATGTTCCTAGGATCCAGTGGTTAGCGGTAGGGTTGTTGAGAGTCTGAGGTTGGCCAGCATGGGTTGTTGAAGATTTCATCACACTGATCACAGGGCCTTTGTAAAGTGCCATTAGCAAGGTGCCTCCAAAAGTTACTATTGTTCCAATCAATTTGGCTTGACATGTCACCTCCTTCATCTTCATGTGCTCCAACCTATACAATAAGCTACGTGGGTGATTCTCTGGTTTCCTTAGGCTTTCACAAATATAAAGAATGATGTTCTTTGTCATGCTGTTGTGTGAAATTCTTGTTTTATGAATCGGATCCCAAGAAAACAATATATCGTGCATATTTTAAAGTCAACTCAGTTCCTAGGTCATTGATAAAAAATTAAGAAAAGAATTAAAGTACACGTACAATCATAAATATATATCGAATATTAACTATTTCTTTTGTTAATTTACTTGATTCACTGTGGGTTTCCCAAATTCCTTTAATATAAGGTGGCTAAAACTTGTACTGTTGTCTCTCTCACTATAATTTCATACCTTTAATACTTCATAAATGTTCATTCCTTTTTTAATCATATCCTCTGGCTACACACATGTATGTTGACAACCCAATAAATAGTTTTAATCTGTCATTCATAAAATTATTCTTAATTAATAAATATATTATAAAATATTTAAGAACTTGATGAGTAAAATAAAGAATGAATGTTTTTTAACCACTTCAATTTGAGAGTATAAATATTGACCACCAACTCTTACATAAATGATCAATATTAGTACGTACAAAAGTATTATTTTTGACTTTAGAAAACTTGTAACCTTAACTATTTGTTATTAAAAAACTTAATGTTTTGAGGTATTTGTTTATAATAATTCATAAGAAATGATTTTTTAAAAATATTTTTATGAATTTGTAGAATTCATGAAATATTTACAAAAATGAATTTCACAATGAAAAATTACAGTAATATCTTGTATATTTTATATAGATAATTTCGTTTCACGTATACCCATTGTCATGTGAATGACGGTGAACTGGCACATGTCAAACCAAGAATCTACTCCTTTTATAAATGAAAAATGTTATTTTAATAAGTTTTTATTAATAACGTTTTTACAAGTGATTAATCCGTTTTAAATACATGAACCAATAAAATAAATGTATGTATGAATATTTTTTAAAAGAAATAATGAAAAAAAAGTAATAAAAACTTTGAAACTATCTAAAATAATTTGCTTTAAAATGTAAATCTCGACATGTTCCATTAGGTTTTACCTGTTTATGTTTCATCAATAAATGCTTAGCAAACATAATTATTTACTTAATCCGAAATACCCATTAAAATATTTAAATTTAATTCATAACTGGTCATAATCGGGAAAGGTTTTTCTTTGCTTCCTTGATTATAAGACTGGAATTCATCCTCTTTCAAAAGTTTTTCTTTCTTTTTTTTTTCTCAATTAAAAAAAAAGTAAAAAAAAAGTTAATAAGAAAGGACAACACTTCATACCAAGGTTACGTCATATCAAGTTTAAAAAAAGTTTTAAAATTCCACTATAAATCTCACCTACTTTAAAATTGAAAAATATATTCAAGAAGACATTAATTAAAACAAAAGAAATACACAATTAAACATATTTTATGTTGTAACATTTATTATTTGTATGAGTATATATTAGATAAGTATCGTAATTTAAAAAATTCGATCTCTTTTCTTTTCTTTTCTAAATCATATATATTCTCACGGATATTTCGTACTAAAAATTCAGCAACTACCCAACTTGAAACTAAACTTTTGTAATGTTTTCTTTAGATTCTTTGGAGCCATTTTAAGAACAGGAAGGAAAATAAAATTATAAAAGTACAACTAATGAAAAATGATTCTTTTTGTTTTGAATCTTTAGTTTTAAAAGTCAATTTTATCTGTTTATTTGCCTTCCATATCTGTTTCTCCTCTTCTTAACAAAATGCAGAGTTTGTGTAGACCAATGAGAGGTGAACCATCTTTCAGAACCTTTCGTGTTTGGTGATTCACTCTACCCACTTACCTCAGAATAACAGCCATGACAAAAGTAACAGAGGGTGCGGAGTTCATGACAGCAGACAGGAAAGAAGCTGACGTGAATTTCATGCCCAATAGAGCGAAACACTGATCCAGTATTATCCTGCAAGTAACACCATGCAACTAAATATCTCTCCTGCATAACAAACTGAAACTTGAATTTCATATATATATATATATATATATTTGTAAGTGTAAGACAATGGTTACTCGAAGAAAGCCAGTGCCATAATCTCTGAAAATATACCAACAGTCATCTTCGGCCGAACTTTCCTGCATAAAAGATATCAACTTTATTTTAGATGAGAAATTATAGAGAAGAAACTGAGTTAGAAGTATATATTTAAAGCATGGAAGGTAAGTGGAAGATACCTTTCAAGAACAAAGGCGAAGGGAGCGAGAGTAACAGAGGCGATGGCATTACGGTAGACAATGAAGACGTAATGGCTCATACCCTTCTTTATAGCATCCATGGCAAATATGAACATCCCAGCAGAACCAAATTGAACAGCCAATAACAGCAGATAGGGCCTTGCATTTCTCAACCACTCACCCATCTTTTTCTTCTTAACTCTCTCTCTGCAACACAATCTATGTGTATGAGAAAGTGAAGTTGCTTATGCTTGCTTTTGTTTATCTGCGAAACCAATGCACTCCATCTTAATATTTATACCCAACAGCTCAATATAGTTAGCAAAGCGTCCATAATCTTAAAAGTTGCTAAATATTCTCCACAAATATTCGCTTTGTTTTTTTTTTAAGAAAATTTTCATTAAAATGTAAACCTTATTTAAGCACAAATTAATATATATTTATTTATGATAAAAAATACTTTTTAATTATAAGTGAAATGGAAGATGCTGAGGAAAAATACAGTAAAATTTTTAAGAAAATAATTTTTTCAAGAACACATTTTATACAATAGTTTTAAAACATAAAAAATATGATTAAAAATAGAAATAAAATAGATAAGTTAGAAAATATGATAAATTGTTATTTGATTAGAAAAAGAGTTTATATGATCCCTTGACAGTAAAAGAAAAAAGCGAGATGAAGGAGTTATGCGGACTAATGATCTTTGTTTGCGTATAAGGTCCGCGATTAGATTCGAATTGGTAGAATCCCACGATCTGTGTCTTTTTGTAAGTATAAATTACTTTTTCCAGAACAGAGTATCTAACTCATTCAAAACACTTAGGAGGCTAAATTAGAGGAATGGATTTAATGCCTAATTAATAAGAATAGAACAAAGAATATTTTTCTTCTGGAACGGCCTCTACTATCTGTGTTCAAGTTGTTCTTCATATTTTCTATCCCCATCTCATGTTGAGCATTCCACTCTTTAATTAGACATTCATAATCTCAATTAAGCATTTTTTTTATCAATAAATTTCTTAGCTCATTCAAGAAAACAACTTGGATCAACTTGAGAGAGGAGCAAGTTTCTTTCATTTAAGAATTTGGATCTTGCAAAAGCATGAGAATATCATTTTCTTATTTATTTGCAATTGGTAGTTTCCCCTGTGTTATGTTTTTTTATTGATAAAAAAATATATTAATAGTGTACTGTATGGTTAGACGACCAAGTAACTAGGACCGAGCAGAGATTGCCACTGAGAATGGATGGTCACACATATCTAAACATGTGAATTTGGGCAAACAAGACAAGGGTTGCTCAGTCGAACGCAAGAAATGACCGAACGGACAACCTTGACAGTAAACATCTCTAAAGAGCTACTGCAGACCAAGATTAAGTGTAAGTGTTGATTAACAGATAATGGACCGAGATTGGACTGTGATTAGGGTTTCATTAATCCTAACCTTGTCTCAAAAACTATAAATAGAAGTCAAATGTAAGCAGATTTATTGTGAATTCAAGACTTTGCTCTGACTATCTTTCGGATAATTACTAACTTAAGCATCAGAATGTCTTTAACCTATATTTCCGAACAATTTGAAATATTGCCAAGAAATGAATTTAACAAAAGATGAACAAATTTATGTGAGCAAGCAAAGAACAAAGTGTGAATGTTTATTTTGTGGAGTTACTAAATCCTACACCTGAAACAAATAGTAAGACACTTTGGTGCTATAACTAGAAAAGATATTAAAATATATATAAAAGCTCAAAATGTAGGAGGTCCGACATTAATCATGTTATTAGTGTTTTAATTTGTTTTTTTGGTAATCTTGTAAAAGAGCAATAAAAAACTATAAAAGGGATATTTTAAAGATGGTGTATATTTTAGAAGTGGTAAGCCTATGTTAAATGATTTAAGACATGCAAATGTATTGGTGATGTAAATTTTAGAAAATCTACGTCTGGTTATATAATAAGTTTTTAAGGAAACAATGTCATGATAATCAAGACTACAAAAAGTGTATTGCTTTATTTCCATGAAAACTTTACTAGACTAGGTCCACACGTTAAAAAAAAAAGTTTTAGCGTTCGTTGATTTTTTATTTTATTTTATGTATCTCATCGTTTTATATATTATTTATATAGAAAATAATTGATTTGAGAAATAGTATCATACAATAACAATGAAATATAAATTTAACTCATAAAATATGCATCCGCTTCTATAATAATAAGTTTGAGTTTTTCTTTTAAATAAGATACTCAATTTTTCTATTTTTATTCAATATATGATTTAGATTCATACTAACACCTAAAATTACAATATTATAACATATGATCTAAGAGTATATATATATATATAT